AGTAACTAGTGAACATTGTCAGACTAGCAATGGTAACTAGTGAACATTGTCAGACTGGCAATGGTAACTAGTGAACATTGTCAGACTAGCAATAGTAACTAGTGAACATTGTCAGACTAGCAATAGTAACTAGTGAAAATTGTCAGACTAGCAATGGTAACTAGTGAACATTGTCAGACTAGCAATGGTAACTAGTGAAAATTGTCAGACTAGCAATAGTAACTAGTGAACATTGTCAGACTAGCAATGGTAACTAGTGAACATTGTCAGACAAGCAATGGTGACTAGTGAACATTGTCAGACTAGCAATGGTGACTAGTGAACTTGTCAGACTAGCAATAGTAACTATTGAACATTGTCAGACTAGCAATGGTGACTAGCAAGAGTAACTAGTGAGCATTGTATTTTATTTATTTCTTCATGTTATATTCTGGTTATCCTTCTGAATTAATTCCATATTTGATAGTCTTCTGGATCAGAGTTTGTGACAAAGCAGTGCATTTAGATCCCATTTGGTTACTTGGAAGTAATTTTGTATTTGTATTCACATTTGGTGAGTTAATGTAATTGATCATATATTCTAATCTTTCAGATACAGGTGACGATATCATTTTACCGAACCCCATATTCACGCCAGTGTCCATTTCAACTGGAGATAATAGTTTAAGAAACAACGCTTCTGCTTTATCAGCAACATCCCCAACAGGTAAATCTTTTCACAATATTTATGAGGTATCCACAAATGAGCAATAATTTTGCTAGTGTTTTTAAGTGGTTGTCGTTTTTGAAAATAGCATTTGTCACAATTATTAAATTTTACTAAAATTAGAATATTAGAATATTCTTCAGTGTGTGAAACAGATCAAATGTTGACAATGTGCACAGATGATAATGAAATTTTCAATCGATAACTGTGTTACTTTGTTACACATTCGAACTGCTTAATTTCCTCTTTGTTTTCAAAAATGTTGATCAACACTAATAGAAAATAAGGTGTTACAACCATTTGGTTCAAAATTATCAAAACAAATTATAGAAAAGCGAGAAAAAAAAAAGAATTTTGGCAAAAAAATATGGCACTCAAAGCGTAAATGTAAATGACTTGTTGAAAGGTAGTATGAATGAAACAACAAACTGTTTTTAGATCACATTCATTGGAAATGTACTTCTAATAGAGCAAATACGGTATTGTACTTGATGGAGAGAATCAGAGCTTTTCATTTTCCTCCCACCTGAACCCGGATTCATATTCCATCTCACATACATTCTTCATTTGTTTTCTAGATTCCAATGCATCATACCAGAGTCCTTATTCATATAACCCCCTAGCATCAACAACCCCTAGTTCCCATGACAACATGTCTTCATCCCGATCTACCTCATCAGCAGGCCATCTCAACATGACTAATAACCACATGGTCTCCCTGTATTCAACACTGGCAGAGGAGGTTAATCCATCTGTTGGGTGAGTGTCTCTTATTCACTGAATTCATAGTCCCATCTATGAGAATAATTTGCATAATTTTCCCATGATTCATCATTGCATGAAACTTAAACATATTTCAGATTATAAATAGTAGTAAGAGATTTATGCTTACTATTGTTGTATCCTCACATGCTACGTACTGTAAAATACTTTATTTTAGCTTGAATAAATTTTTGCTGAAAAGACATTTTGGGTGTTTTGTATAGAATTTATTTTCACTGATTTTTGGCAAGTTGAATGTAAAATATAGGAAAAAAGGTATATTTGCTGGATTTTTTTTAACTGAATCATTTCTTCAGACAAAATAGCGAAAATAAGTTGCAAGCGAAAATAAAGTATTTTAAAGTATTCAATATATATAACTAATTTGCATAATTATCTCATGTTACATTGTATGTCGATTTCATCACATTGTTTTTTTTTTCAATTGGTAAGACCAATTTTTTCTCACTGAATTCCACCATGCTTATTCTGAATAGAAATATTTTAAACTTTGAATCTCTTCAGCGCAAGGAATTATATAACTTCAGTCAGTGCCTACTTACGAGCGATAATGCTTTAATTCATACTTGTGTCAATTCTGACAGTTTTTTCTTATCCAAATTTTGGACTAATTTTGGACGTTGTATTTATTAGTGTTGATGTTTGTTACATTGTATAAATAAAGGATTAATAATAATAATAATTTTCTTCTGCAGATTCCATTATCCGAGTGGTTATCCGAGCCATGGCATGAGTAATCAGTATTCCCAATCTCCACATGACAGTAATGCATACAGATATGGACATTACTCATCGTCTGTCACTCAGGTAAAGACTAAATGATTTTGTTATAATAGTTATTGAGTATCTTAGTCCGAGTCAAGCATCGAAATGTGTTATCTCTCTGTGACGTATAGTGGCGCCGGTGGTGGCGGCAGCGATGTCTTCTCAAAAAACGCACTATATACAAGTGCTAAATTGTTTGTACCGCACATTTTGATTGTGCTTTGTGTCGCTGCCCACTGGGGATGCAATAGACTCAAATGTGTTCACTGGGTGATGGGTAGCAATAAAATAACACATGACCCTAATGCCATGTATAATGTGTATAATAATAGATTACACAAAAGACCTACTATACAATTTAAAGCGAGAGGGTCGTCACCTGCACGGGAATTGAGTCCTAAGCGATGATAACAACACACGCTAAAAACACAATGGCTCATGGGTAGACGCTTGTTTGTAAACAATGACACGCTATGGCCATCTCAGGCATGCGCTGGTGACGACTCCCTCGCTTTAATGTGTAGTAAATCTGGACTGTTCTTTGTTCTCTGCATTTCCAAAATATCAATAATTAATTATGATGTCTCATTTCTACCCCTAGTACTCATTCAACGGTCGTGTTAACAATATGGACCAGGGTATTATTGGAAGCACACCAACTGCAGTGAACGGATGGTCAGGCGACAGCAGCAGTAGGTACGGAACAGGATGTAACACTTCGTCTACAAACCCAGCATTGCATTACCATGACAACATGTACTCGCCAGGATTTATGAACTTTTCACACCGAGA